GAGTCTCTAGACCGCTACGCACAGGAGCCAGCACAGAGGACTCAGGAGTCTCTAGACCGCTTTCAGGGAAGAGAGTGAGCCAAGTGAGCAGTCATGGAGGGCATTCCTGACAACAGTAGCAGCCTATGCGTACGCAGAGGCATGAACCTATTTGGGGAACAGTTTGACTTGTTGGGAGAAAACAGCAGGGCCAGGTGCTCATGTCTGTAGCCCCAGCACTTCAGGAGGCCAAGATGAGAAGATCGCTTGAGCCCTGGAGTTTGAGACCAGCCTGGGCAATATAGGGAGACCTCATCTCCACAATATTAAAATTAAAAAATTAGCTGGGTGTGGTGGCATGCGCCTAAGTAACAGTCCCAAATACTCAGGAGACTAAGGCGGGAGGATGGCCTGAGCCTAGGAGTGTGAGGCTGCGGTGAGCCATTATTGTGCCACTGAGCTCCAGCCTGGGGGACAAAGCAAGACCCTGTCTTTTATTTAAAAAAAAAAAAAAAGGCCAGGCACGGTGGTCATGCCTGTACTTCCAGCACTTTGGGAGGCTGAAGTGGGTGCATCACTTGAGGTCAGGTGTTCGAGACCAGCCTGGCCAACACGGTGAAACCCTGTCTCTACTAAAAATACAAAAATTAGCCGGGCATGGTAGCATGTGCCTGTAATCCCAGCTACTGGGGAGGCTCAGGCAGGAGAACTGCTTGAACCTGGCAGGCAGAGGTTGCAGTGAGCCAAGATCGCACCATTGCACTCCAGCCTGGGTGAAGAAACAAGACTCCGTCTCAAAAACGAAATAATAAAAAAAGAAAGGCTGGGCGTGGTGGCTCACACCTGTAATCCTAACACTTTGGGAGGCCGATGCGGGTGGATCACCTGAGGTCGGGTGTTCGAGACCAGCCTGGCCAACACAGTGAAACCCCATCTCTACTAAAAATACAAAAATTAGCTGGGCGTGGTGGCGCGCATGTGTAATCCCAGCTACTCGGGAGGTTGAGGCAGGAGAATCGCTGGAACCCGGAGTGGGGGTCAGGGGGGTGGGCGGAGGTTGCAGTGAGCTGAGGTCACGCCACTGCACTCCAGCCTGGGCGAAAAGAGCGAAACTCCATCTCAAAAAAAAAAAAGAAGAAAAGGAACACTTAAGGGCAGAGAGGGGTAGAGGGCAGAGAGGAGAGGATCTTAAATATCAGTAGAAGAGTTTGCACATTAAGACGGGGGAAGGCAAGGAAAAGATTTCACTAGGGGAGCAGCAATCACATCTGTTTTAAGGCCTTTTTTACCGTGAAGGCCTCTTCCAATCAAGTTACAAATGCTGGCCTAGGGTTGACCTTCCAGGCCCTATTTAACTCACAGTAGCCCAACGTAACAGGAGTAAGTTCTGGGCCTTGAGAATAGCGAGGTGGCAAAGAAATATATATAAAATCGCTCTTTATTATTCAATTAGAGTTTTCTTTTTTCAGACAGATACTGTTTTACTCATTTGTCTAAATGGGGGTGTGTAGTTGAAGGAGGAGAAAAAAGTGGCCATGAGGCCAGGGCAGCTGCTCTAAGTCAGAGGTTGGCTGTCCTAAGGAGTTCTGTGCCCAAAACCAGAGCCCAGTCTTCCCTCACCATTATGCCATGAGTAGAACTGACCTTGAACAGGATGACCAGAATCACAATCAACACCAGAAGTCCACCAATGCTGCCTTTAATGATGACAGGCAAAGAATGGTACTTCTCATCTTTCAGGAAGACGACAGTGATCTAGACAAGACAAAGAGATGGCCCAATACATCAGGTGAAGGAAATGAGGAAAAAAATCCTACATGTTATTTTAAGGAGCAAAATACTAGGACTTGGCAACATCCTGTGTATTGATTAAAACTGATGACACGAAAGCAAAAAGCTAGTACTCCCTGATACAGCATTTTAGATCATCTAAAATTATCCAATCATCCAAATACTTTGTAAGAAACTATTCTGGCCCCTTATCTAGAAGGGCTAGGTCTGTCAGGAGATTGTGACCTTCTGTTAAAGATGCTCTGACAGCTTGAAAGAGGGTCCCGTGGAATCCAGTCTCAACACGGGACTGCGAGGCTGTCACACCGCTACACTGCTCTGTCCCTGAGCCCCATGCCTGTTCTCTTTAAAACGATGACTTCCTTTCAATGATCTTCAAGTCCTTTCCAACTCCGTTCTGACGGCTCTTTTTGATCTTGCACAGATCCCTAAACGCTTTGGTAATACATTTTCCCCACAAAATATGACAAAAGTACTGGTCTTCTCCTCACCAGACTAAAAAGTGTGTATTACCTAAGGGACATAATAAATGCAAAATTATATCCATGTGTACTACTTGCAGAGCTCAGCTATTAGAAGTCATCCTCAGGTTCTGTTTTCCAAAGGCTCTCCCAGTGTCGGGAGTCTCATCTCTCTTCTGGCAGGGCTCAGCTGGAGAGTTCAGGGGATGTGCTTCCTGAGACCCAGAGATGTGCTTCCTGAGACCCAGGGATGTGCTTCCTGAGACCCAGGGATGTGCTTCCTGAGACCCAGGGATGTGCTTCCTGAGACCCAGGGATGGCCCTTCCAAGTTGTGGCCACAACAAGTTCCCAGGACTCAGGTGGGGCCAGAGAGCCAACAAGACTTCTCTGCCTGCTCAGAGCACTGAGTTCCCTTCACGTGTATGTTTAAGCGCCAAGGTCAGGGATGCTTTGGAGAAGTTTCTGTACGGGGTGAAGAGCTGGACAAACTTACCTTTAAGGCCTCTTCCAATTAAGTTATAAATGCTGGTTGACCTAAAGTTGACCTTCCAGGTCCTACTTAGATCATAGGTAGTGAACTTAATAGAAGTGAAGTCCTAGGACTTGAGAATAGGGAGGTACCATAGCAACAAAGACGGAGGAAGAACAGAAAGAGGGCTGGAATATTCTTCTATAGCAGAAAGAGGGGGACTCGAGAACCTGGGTGTGGGAAGTGAAAGGAAGTCCCAAGGTGACTCGGGAAACAGGCCAGATTTGAGTAGAAGACATGTCCCCATTTCTCAAAGCCGCCTCCCTTTATCCTCTTCTAAACCCACAGATTCCCAAAAGTGCCCTGAAGATGCCCAGGTAGAGGTTAAGGGAGAAGCAGGGCACCAGGTACTACTGCTTGCAGCAAACACTGATGCTGGCCTGCCCAGCGGCCACTCTCTCCTTTCGGATTTTATTCAGGAATCATGGTTGGTCTAAGGTGATCCTGACACACAGCTATTCTCCTTCGCCAGTAACTGACGTGAGATTCAGATCTCACTAAGAAGAGGTAAGAGGATGTCTCCTGGGAGCTTTTGGAAAATGTTTCATCCCTGAAAAGGGAAGGCGCATGAAGAAAAAGCCAAAATCCTTTTGCGACTGACTTCTTGCTTCCTGTTCTGTATCCTGCCATGTGAAAATATAGCATTTGGAGACGTGGTAACTTTGTGCTGGCCGTGACGGAACGCAGCGCCAGCACGGCAGAGTGCAAGGACAAAAGCAGCCAGGCCGTCGCCCCAGGTCAGTCTCTCTTGCTGGATAAACAGCATATGCCCTTGTGCTGCAAGAGCTGGATTCTCCCTTTCTTGCGGCTGAAATGCATGTGGATAGTCTGTTTATATTCAGAGTCACTGTCAGTCAGGTGCTTATTGTCAGGAACTACTTAATACTGTGCTTAGGATACTGGATTTAAAGAAAGGAATTTTGCGGAATCCATGCCATAGAAATAAAAGTATCAGTAAGTAAGAGGGGGAAATATATAAATTTAAAATGCGCACGTAAGAAACTTAATAGTAACTCCTCCCTGCTAGGAGCATGGGAAGGGAGAAGTGAAGGAACCATGATTTTTCATTTCATTACCGTTCTCTGTATGGCTTGGATTTTCTTGCTATTACTTTTATTGGTTAAAATCTGGGCAGTGCAATAATGGGGCACTTCTATTTCTTCCACATTGTTTTCTGTATTAGAAATACACTACTTAGTTGGGCATGGCGGCTCACGCCTGTCATCCCAGCACTTTGGGAGGTCAAGGGGGGCAGATCACCTGAGGTCAGGAGTTGGAGACCATCCTGGCTAACACAGGGAAACCCTGTCTCTACTAAAAATACAAAAAAAAATTAGCCAGGCATGGTGGCGGGCGCCTGTAGTCCCAGCTACTTGGGAGGCTGAGGCAGGAGAATGGCGTGAACCCGGGAGGCGGAGCTTGCAGTGAGCCAAGATCGCACCACCGCACTCCAGCCTGGGCGACAGAGCAAGATTCTGCCTCAAAAAAAAAAAAAAAAAGAAAAAGAAGAAAAAGAAAAAAAAGAAAAAGAAATACACTACTTAAAAATAAAAGGAACTGTTATACTGGCATGTCTAGACAATTGCTCCTTTCCCCTCCTCCAGGGAGGAATACAGAGGACCTCATATTTAGCAATCCAGCATCACTCTCCCGACGTTCCCTCTAGCAGACAATCATGCCTAACTAAAGAGCTCAGAGCTCACAGATAGATCACCTCTGGAGCCATGTCCAGGCAAGTGCCAACAAGAATGAACACACAGGGTAACACACAAAGCATTCAGTCCATAAATCACAGGCATCAGTCTGACTTCTGGTCATACGTTTGCAAAAAGAATTCCAAGAGTTCCAGTATCTAGTCTAAATCTTATAAAAGATTTATGCATTCCTGAGTACTGTTTAATACTATAACCAAACACTGATGCAGCACACTAAGACAGTTAATGTATACGAAAAACAATTTCTTACTTAGGAAATTTTTTAAAAATTATTTATTTATTTATTCGAGACTGGGTCTCGCTCTATCATTGAGACTGGAGTGCAGAGGCACGATCTCAGCTCACTGCAACCTCTACCTCCCAGGTTCAGGCGATTCTCGTGCCTCAACCTCCCAAGTAGGTGGAATTACAGGCACCCACCATCACGCCCGGCTAATTTTTGGATTTTTAGTAGAGACAGGGTTTCACCATGTTTCACCATGTTGGCCAGGCTGGTCTTGGCCTGATCTCAAGTGATTCACCCACCTCGGCCTCCCAAAGTGCTGGGATTACAGTGTGAGCCACCGGTGCCTGGCTGGAAATTTTTTTTTTTTAATCAATATATTTTCAAATCAAAGTATATAATGCAGATTCCAGCCTAGTTATTTCAATTCAGAACTCCTCAGCTTACGCCTCTTAATTGCCTTATTTCATAGGCAAAAAACTCGCAGAAGCTGACTCACTCAAGGTCACAAAGGCAGTGATGGCACAGCCAAGATCAGAAGCGTTAAGGCTGAAAACAGGAAGAGGGCAACAGAACGTCTGTGCAGGCACTCAAAGGTTAGGCACAATTTTCCTTGGGCACTACTCAGAAGTTAGCCAGGAATTACCTTAGTTCTGTGGTTCTCTGCATTCAGCCCCTCATATAGAGATTTGTTGAAAGATATTTCACCAAGGATCTGCAGTTCAGTTACATCTTTTAGTAACTAGAAGACGGGGAAAGGAAAGAGAGAAACAAAACATATTTTAGACATGAACTCACTGTGTTTGAATGGCCCTCACCACCTTTCCTTTTAAAGGCATTCCTGGGCTTAGTTAACGGCCCCAAAGTACACAACACTACACAAAGTTACCCAAACAAGAC